CACAACTGTCAGACTTCCGGGCACTCCAAGGTCAACTGCAACCGCCCTCGCGTTTACCGTCCAGCAGACCCACAAGTTGCTTCAACCCAAGCAAGTCCCCCAAGACGCTCTTCAACATCTGCACAACAGACACCAAACATTATCAATTGCATGGTACACATCGACAACTGTGCACCCGGCTCACCACCCACTTACGCGCCAGACGAAGAAGAGCTCCCGCCACCACGCTCACAAGGACTTCAAGTCAATCCGACGTACGCTGCGGTCGCCAACGCCGAACCAACCGGACGAAACACCTGGTTCCTGGACAGCTGCTGCGGTCAACACATGTGCTCCTCGGGACGCTTCGTGCAATAGGAGAAACGGCTCAACCGCGACGTCGTCATCACCGTCTCCAACAACGAAAACCTGAAGACAAACAGACAAGGCGTGGTTCAGTTACAATCCATGGAGACAAACGTAATACTTCAGCTCAACAAAGTACTCATCGTCGACAACTTGGGATACAACCTACTAAGCGTAAGCCAACTAATGGCCAAGGGGATTCACCTGGAGTGCGACTCCTTCTCCAACGAGTTCCGGCTTTACCACGGGAAGGGCGGCCTCTTCATAGGTCGTGCCCTCCTGAAGTCCGGTGTCTTCGTGTTGGACTTTGTCCCCGACCGCGGTACTGCCGACAGCGACGGTATCGTATCGTTCGCCGCCTGGACACACCCGCCGGATCTTGATCCCGACTTCGACAGTGACGGCTTCTGGCACTCCAACACCATACCTGCAGCAGAAAGAACACGAGCATTAGCAGTTATCAGACAAGAACGGCAAGTACCAACAAGCGTCCAGTCCCAACCATCACCTGCAGTAGCAGCAGCAGGACCAAGCCGAGTACCACCACCGGCAGTCCGAGGACCGCCAACCGAAGCAGATCAACTTATGCCCATCACACGAGAAGTCTGTCGAAGTCCCGCCACAGTCGTCGCATTCTTCTCCAACGCCGACATATACCACCGCTCACCCGGACATCGCGCTCCCGACGACATCTGGCACCAACGCCTCGGGCACCCTGCAAATAGTACAATACTACAAACCATCCAAGCCGAAGTGTTAGAACGCAACGCCCTCCTAACAACGAACGGCCAAGAACTTCGACGACCTCGCGCACGGTGCTTCACGTGCCCCGAAGCAGATCTTCCTCATCAACCCTTCCCATCACATCATAATCCAAGCGCGCCTGCATATGCAACGATGGAAAAAGTCTACAGCGACATCTTGAACATGCCTCGAGACGACACGGAAGCCGACTTCAACTACGTCATCACCTTCGTCGATGCAGCAACAAGATACACTTGGCATTACAACCTCAAGACGCGCGATCAAGCCTTCGACGCCTTCACAACATGGCTCCCCATCGCCGAACGGGAATCAGGAACCAAGCTAAAAACTTTCCAGTCAGACGGCGCACTGGAATACCAGTCACAACGCTTCAGAACCTATCTGGCGGAAAGAGGAATCAGGCGCCTGGTGTCCCTACCATACGCTCACCAGCAGCAGGGGGTCGTAGAACGCATGAACCGGACCTTGCAGACGACAATGCGAAAGCTGCTCCTGGGAATGAAACTACCCAACACACTGTGGCCAAACGCGATGACACATGCAGTCCACCTGCACAACATGTTGTCCTCGTCATCGCTCCCCAACAACGCATCACCACACCTGCTGTGGACGGGAAAAAGGGGCAGCACAAAATTACTTCGAGTTTTCGGCTGCATGGTACAATACAGACCCCACACAGCTCGAGCAGGACGCTTCACTCAACGAGCTCGGTGGGGACTACACCTCGGCATCGCCAAACATTTTCACGCGTGGAAGATTCTCGACATACAAGACAAAAATACGGTGGCATCACGTGATGTTATCTTCTACGAGCGACTGACGCTGCAGCATTACCTGGACAACATTGCCAACTCAGACGACCCCACCGACGGCTTCGCGGGCCTTCGCTCCTTCGCTGACCATGCTGCCGAGGCTGACGCAGCAGAAGAAGACGTCCCTGGAGCCTCGGAGGCTGCCGGACCACTCCCCTACTGCTCCGTACCTGTTCCACTCGATGAAGATAATCCCCTCGATAGCAACAACCTCGACACCTTTTACCACTTCGCTGACCAAGGCTACGCTACACCACACCCTGTCGACTCGAATATTTCCGAACGCATCGGGCCAAACTTCTTACCCGATCCTGAAGACGGTGATGAAGCAGCTTATCCCGGGAATGAAAATTCCCCTCGACACACAGCCACGGGACTGCAGATCCTAGGACTATGGGTCTCCGTCCAGCACCCGCCGCCGCCTTCTCCGCGCGAGCCATCGACCCTGTCGCAGGCTCTGGGGGGGGAACATAAGGCGGAATGGAAGGAAGCAATGGAAAAAGAGTTAAAAGCCCTCCAAGACCGGAATACATGGAAGTTAGTACCGACAACCAACACCAACGGGAGGAACATTCTCTCGGGGAAATGGGTGTACCGCATTAAGACCAACGCGGACGGCTCCATCGAACGTTTTAAAGCGCGATGGGTCGTACGAGGCTTCGACCAACGATACGGAACCGACTACACAGAAACCTTCGCCCCAGTCTCCCGTCACACCTCCCTGCGCATCCTACTCGCCGTCGCGGCCACGAAGAAACTACCACTACGGCAAATCGACGTCGCAAACGCCTTCTTGTACGCACCTGTGGACGCCGAAATCTTCGTCGAACAACCCCACGGATTCATCGACGACCCTTCAAAAGTATGCCAGCTGGAAAAATCCCTTTACGGGATCAAGCAAGCCCCACGGCTCTGGCAGCAGCACCTTCACGGCCGGCTCGTAAAAATCGGATTCCTACAGTTACCACATGACCAAGGCATGTACCGACTGCAGAAGGGAAGAGATTACATTCTGCTCATAGTCTACGTCGACGACCTGCTCTACATCGGTTCTACCACCGACATCGTCACCTGGTTCGAAGGGGAGCTGAAAGGGGACCTGACGCTCACGGTGTCCGACTCAGTGACCCAGTACTTGGGACTAAATGTCGTCGAAGACAACTCGGCGTTCTACCTACACGCTGGAAAGTACGCAGGCACTGTCGCGAAGAAATTCGGACTGACGCCGACTACGGTCCCGACTCCCTACCGCTACGGAAACAACAACAGCGCCTCCGCAAAACTCCCCGCGAAGCAAATCCAGGAGTATCAACAGAAGCTCGGTTGCCTACTATTCGCAGCAGTCACCTGCCGACCCGACCTGTCCTATAGTGCGAGTCAACTAGCGACGCATCTGAAGCAACCGGAACAGGAAGATCTCGAGGAACTCAACCGGGCACTACTCTACTTCGTCTCCACGCCGACGATCGGACTTACCTACAGCAAAGCGACAACACCGTCCGTACAACTACTCGGATACGTCGACGCCGACCACGCGGGAGACAGGGAAAATCGACGATCTAGGACGGGCTACATCTACCGACTAGAACCCATCGGAACTATCTCCTGGCAGTCGAGCAAGCAGGAGTTAATCGCACTATCCTCGGCTGAAGCAGAGTACATCGCCCTTTGTACTGCGACCAAGGAAGGACTCTACCTGCGAGAGTTACTCGAGGAAGCGAAGATCACGACCCTGCCCGCCTTCTCACTCTTCTGCGACAACCAATCTGCGATCAAAATCGCAAACAAGGACGGCTTCGCCAACCGAATCAAACACATCGCCCTGCGGTACTTCTTCGTCAAAGATGAAATCGCGAAAGGGAGACTTCAACTCAGTTACTGCCCGACAACAGAAATGGCCGCAGACTATTTGACAAAGAAATTGGCAAAAGCAAAATTCGACTACTGCATGTTGCTGACCGGACAAACAAACGTCATCGGACCTGAACAAGTCAGCACTCCAGAAACGAAGGGGAGTGTTGAAAGTACATCAAAAGACTTAAGCGTTTCTGAAGTGTAACACTACACTCGAGGAAGATTGCAAAGGGTACGCGAGTCAACGGAGGTTACACGAGGGGGCGGACAAAGAACACGAAGGGTTTGGGACTCAAAGGGTCGCAACTGGAGGTTGCGACTGACCGTTACAACAGCACGGATGGTAACCGAAGCGACAATCGAGTCGCTGTACGACTCGATAAACCGCTACTGCAACTGTACTCTACAACTGTTTCTTATCTTCTATATATTGCTGTATGTTTGCCTTTTTATCATCACTTGTTCTCACATACTAGTACAAGGGTTCAACTGCCTCAACTTCCGCTGCACTACCCCAAGTCTCAAGTCTTCACAGCTGGGACTTAGTCTCTGGAAAGATCCCAAGGGCTTTTCTCAGCCCAACAGAGCTCTTGAAAAAACTGAGCTGTGTGAGCGGTCAGTCGCAACTTCATCCCCCGAGCATCTGACGCCAAATCAATCGTCGCGCACCAATAACGTAGCAAAGCTACTTCGCATTACAGACAATTTCGGGTCCCATACCATTTGGAAAATAGAAAACGCACCAAAGGGTCTGCCCCTAAACGAAACATTTTTTCAAGAGCTCCTCAGGTGTGCTATTCTAGCCTGTGGTTTTAAATGCAAAATAACATTATTAAAATTGCCAAACCGGCAAAGATAGCTTTGCAACCCCATGAAGATTTAGTCGACACTTGTTTCGTTTCAAATTCGCGTGTGTCCATGGAAGTAAGCCTGGAGTCCACGAAAGTATTGATGGAGTCCACTAGAGAAGCGAAACGTCGATGTGGTGTCCATGAAAGTAGGGCCTGTCCACGAAAGTATGAAAAGTTTCGTGGCCAGTCCACGGCAGCAAATTTTTCCCGAGCTGCACTGGCGGAAATGCCTCAAAATGCCAAGTGAACTGCAAGGAAGGCGAGGTGCCCTACCATACTGCACCGTAATGAACACCAGCAACGCCTTGCCTCCCGTGCCATTCCCCCAGCACAGGCAGGGATAATTCCCCTGCCGAACAAACGCGGAGATTACCGACAGCTGCGGCTCCATCCATCACGCTTTTTTGGTCGGCTGTTTGCTCGTGCGGCTCGCAGCTGCGCGAGCAAGACAGGAAGAGGGAGAGTGAGACAGATGTCGTGTCGACCTGAACTGCGAGTTTTTCCTGCAGTAGTATCTGCTCCCATCCGTCGTCGTGTGCCATCGTCACGCCAGCGTGCCTCGAAAGTGGTCTCGCCGACACGGCCATGCGGTGTTTCCAGCATCCCCGTGAAAGGGAAGCTCGCCGCGTCAGCCGCTCACCGCAGCAGAAATGGCACTTCCTGACTCGCATCTTTCTGACTCGCGTCTGCCTGGCTCGCGTCGGCCTGAGAGGACGGCCTACTCTCATCGCCCATGTCTCTCGTTGGCAACGTGTTTGACGTGGCAAGTCTTATATTTCAACGTGGGAGAGCAGCGCCGCCCGGCGAGCCCCGCCGTTGTCGGCAACGGGGGCCCGGGCCGAGTCATGGCCGCGGCTCCACGCGTGTCGTGTGAACCCCGCGCACGCGCGGCGAAGTTTTCCGAATTCGCTAATGATGTTGGCGCAAGCCGAGCCGCCGTGGGAGCGGGTATCTTCTTTTTGCAACCACCAGGCGTCCGCGCTGCCATATTTGATTTAGAGCCCTTTCGAGGAAGGACCGTGTGAATTCTTTCCGCACAAGCGCAAGAATCGGCCGGCGAGATGGTCTCTGCGAACACCCCCCCCTTCCTGTAACGAGATTAGAGTAAAACGTGCCGGTCGAAGGACTCTTCAGCGTTTGCAGGTCTTACTAAGAATGTGACTTCCAAGTTGAAAGCTCTACCAACTCGCCGCTACGAGTGCAGACCGTCTCGAATCGCCGCAGGTTGAGAAGAACAGTAGGCGTGCCGCGTCACCAGGCTCCCTAGCCCGCACCCGTCTTCAGTCCCGCCCGCCAATTCAATCACTGCGAGGAACGTTCGCCTCTGCTTGACTGCCTAGGCTGCCTCACTTCGTCTAGACTGCCTGCCTGCCTGCCCGTCCTTCATAGAGCTGGAGTCATGGGAAACCGACGTGGCTGCTCCTTCCCTCTGCCGCTGTTGCTATTGCTCCTTGCTGCAGCGTGGCTGGTGCTGCTCCTGCCGTCCCCTGCTGTCGCCACTCGCATCGACGACGCCCAAGGTCTCATCCTCCTCATCGCTACACCTCGCCTCGTCTCCCACTCTCCCACTCTCTCCCCGCCTCTCCCGCTCCCTCCCACTCCTTTCCCCTCGCTACAATCCACTACCTCCCTCTTTTCCCCAGCCACAGCTTCCTCACGTGCCGTTACCTTGCTTCCTCTCCCTCCAACTCCTTCCCCTTCCCCCTGTCCAGCAACGAGAATCCCCTCGTGCTGCTCCCTCCGCTCCCCAGCCGCCCCTCCCGCCGCTGTGGTACCCCCCTCTTGTGCATGCAGTGTGGGTGTCAGTGCTGTGCGCTGCAGTATGGGCCGGCTCTTGCATGGGCCTGCTCGTTCAGAGGCCACATCCCTTCTCCTCCCTCCTTCCCTCCCCCCTTTCCTCGCCCCCTTTAACCCTTGTTGCATGCAGCGCCGGTTTTGGTGGAGTGCGCAGCAGCATGGGGCCGCGCGTTCAGAGGCTAACCTTCTCCCCTCCCCTCCGCCCTCTGCTCCCCTCCCATTTCCTCCCATCTGCTCCCCTCCCCTCCCCTCCCCTCCCCTTGCTGCATGCAGCGGTGGTGCTGGTGGAGTGCGCAGCAGCATGGGGCCGCACGTTCAGGGGGTGGCGGGAGGGGGGTGAGTGCAACACGGCGCAGTTCATCTCCTGCGACGGCGCGGGGCTCGTCACCGCCATGTGCGATGAGGGGGGGGGCGGGGGGGAGGTGGGGGAGAGGGTGGGAAGGTGGGAGGGGGAGTTAAGGGGGGGAGTGGGGGGGCAGCGTTGGGGTTGTGGAGGCGATGGAGGGAGAGGCGGTGGAAAGAGGGGTGTGGGTCAGTGAGCTGCTGCCAGTGTGCTGTGACTGTGTCTCACTTTCTGCTTCCGTGCATGTGTGTGTGTGTGCAACTTAAAGCAACACATCAGGTGGTTGGACGGCAGAGGTCTAGTGGGCTCCATCCCAACAGCCCTTGGCACTCTCACCTCTCTCACCGCTCTGTACGCATTTTTCACCCCGCCAAGTCGATCCTTCAGCTGTTCTGTATAGCTCACCACTCTCATCCTTTTCAACCCCTTTCTTCCACTCTACATTTCTCTGCACTGCACCACTGTATTCTTGTCCCCCCACCCCTTCTGCCCCAACCCTGCTGCCCCACCCTTGCTGCCCCTCCCCTGCTGCCCCTCCCCTAGTCTCTCCTTACCACTCCCCTAGTCTCACCACTCTCTCTCTCTCTCTATCTGTTGCCGTTGTCGCCAAACCTCCCGTTCTCGATCCTCCTCCCTTCCTCACCCGCCCCCCCTTTCCTCTCCTCTCCCCCCCCCCCTCCCTCCCCACCAGTTCGCCTGCTCCTGACCCTCCATCCGAAAACTGCTGACTCATGCACTTAACCCTCCCTCCCCACCCTCTCTCCCCAACCCCCACGCGCACCCACTGGGGCCTTCTTTCTCTGTGGGGGCAGCAACCTGTGCTGCAACTCCCTCTACGGCCCCATCCCTGCCTCCTTCAGCGGCCTTGCTTCCCTCGCCTATCTGTGAGATGGGCGCACCTGTAGCCTGTAGGCTGGGATGTGCGGTGGGGAGGAAGGGAGGGAGGGAGGGAGGGGGGGGGAGGGGAGGGGGGTGGGGGGGTGCATGTGTATGACTTGTGTGGGAGGGAGCTGGTGTTAAGACTTGGGTTTTTGGTGAGGCGGGTAGAGTTTGGGGGTCAGGAGCAAGGTTCAAAAATACGGTTTCCGAAAAATACGGTCCGTTTTTTTTCAGACCTCTGGGAAAAAAACGCCGTTTTTTTAATAGAACATTTCGTTTTTTTTTTTTTTTTTTTTTTTTTTTGAAAGCCTAAACGTTTGCCAGATCCGCGCATTTTGCACCCCAAAATGCGAGATCCCAGCATCTGGGCGGGCGAAACGCCAGATATCCTAGCATTTCGTTCGCCAAAACGCGAGTTCCCGCACATTTTGGGGGTCAAAATGCCAGTTCCGCGCGTTTTGGCAGGCGAAGACGCAAATCCGGGCGTTTTGCAGGTTTTTTTTTGGGGGGGCGGAAAGTACGGCCCTTTTTTTGCACCAGTGAAGAAGAAACAGCTCCGGACCGTTTTTAACCGTTTTATATGGCCGAAAAAATCGATACCGTATTATACGGGGGGAAAAAAAAAAACGGCCGTTTTTTTGCACCTTCGTCGGGAGGGTTTCGGGAGAGTTTTGGTGGGTGTGGCTGTTGAGTGTGGTAGAGGGGAAGTGGGCTCCGTAAGTAGGAGGCGAAGTGTGAGCTGCAGCGAGGCTAGAGTCGCATTCATCGTGCACCCAAATTCTGCGTTCATCCGCCTGTTGCTAACCCATTCCCCAGAGTCTCTCTTTGAGTCCCTCGTCGTGAATTTTGGTGCTTGAAGGTTCTCCTCTCCTCTCCTCTTGCCTATTCGGCTCGACTCGGTTCGGCTCTGTTCAGTTCTGTTTGGTTTGGTTCGGTTCGGTTCAGTGTCTCTTTTGCCCACTCTTCACCTGCTTGCACCCATGAGTCCTCTCCATCGTCCTCCTGTGTAGTCGCCATCCGTTTTCGCCCGCTCCCCTGTTCCAACTCTCTATCTATCCCCCTCTCACCACCTCTTGTCTGCAGTGACCTGCAGTACAACGCACTCAGCGAGTCGATTCCGGATGCCATTTCGCTCATGACCGCTCTTACAAGCCTGTGCGTGCTGAGAGAAAAATGTTTGGACGTCGCGTATAGTGCTAGGGTGCTAGGGGTGGGTAGAATTTGGAAAGAGAGCAGGTGCCGTGCCGTTTGGCTCATGACCACTCTTACAAGCCTGTGAATGCCATACTGTCGGCTTCTCTCACACATGGTTTCTGCAGAAGCATGTGCTCCCATGTCTCACCTCCCCTCACAGCTCATCTCCCCTCGCGTCTTATCCCCCCTCACTTCTCATACCCCCTCACGTCTCATCCCCCCTCGCGTCTCTCACCCACCCATGCCTTGCGTTCTGCCTTTTTTTAGTCGACTCCGTTTTTTACTCCACTTTGTGTTGCCTTGCGTCTCACTCCACGTATCACCCCATGTATCACTCCACGTATCACTCCACGTATCACTCCACGTATTACTCCGCGTATCACTATCACTCCACGTATTACTCCTTGCTCCCACGAGAAATAGCTTTCAATGCTACTGGCCTCATGCTACAGGCCTCATGCTACAGGCCTCATGCTACAGGCCTCATGCTACAGGCCTCATGCTACAGGCCTCATGCTACAGGCCTCATGATACAGGCCTTATGCTACAGTCCTCATGCTACTGGCCTCATGCTACAGGCCTCATGCTACAGGCCTCATGCTACATGCCTTATGCTACAGGCCTCACGCTACAGGCCTCATGCTACAGGCCTCATGCTACAGGCCTCATGCTACAGGCCTCATGCTACAGGCCTCATGATACAGGCCTTATGCTACAGTCCTCATGCTACTGGCCTCATGCTACAGGCCTCATGCTACAGGCCTCATGCTACAGGCCTCATGCTACATGCCTTATGCTACAGGCCTCACGCGCTACAGGCCTTATGCTACAGGCCTCACGCTACAGGCCTCATGCTACAGGCCTCATGCTACAGGCCTCAGGCCTCATGCTACAGGCCTCAGGCTGCTCGCACCACATCGTTGCCCCCACGTCCCCACGTCCCCCATTGCCCCATCGTTTCCTCATGCCCCCACGTCCTTGCCTTCACCGTACCCTTCATGCGGCATTGCCCCCACGTCCTTGCCTTCACCGTACCCTTCATGCGGCATTGCCCCCACGTCCTCGCCTTCACCGTACCCTTCATGCGGCATTGCCCCCACGTCCCTGCATGTCCCAACGCGGGCACGTCGCCCCCTCAGCTTCCTGTCCAGCAACCAGCTAAGTGGAGGCATTCCCCCAGCCATTGGCGCCCTCGCATCGCTCAAACAACTGTGAGTGCCACCTGCACAGCAGCAAGCTCAAGTTAGAGGTTTGGAGTGACTGGGAACGCTGTTGAAGGATAAGTGCATGCATGCATTGAAGGGTATCAGAACCAGAATTGAACCGCTCTGGGGTCGGACTACTTTCGGTCTAGAAGAAAGTTCCATCTAGCAAAACGAGACAGATGTTACTCTCAAATTTGATCCGAGACTCATTTGACAAGATCTCGAAGCGACAAGATCTCATTTGCGACTCATTTGAGAGCACCTCGGATCGGACATCTATGTTGTGCCCTCTCTCCCCCACCTTTCCTCCCCCATCCATTACTGTCCCTGCGCACATGTTCCCTTGTGCACCTGCCTCTCTCACAACATGCTGTCAGAAATCCTTCTGCCTCGTACTGCCTGTCTGCATTTTTCAGGCGCCTCGGAATTTGTCTTGCTGTGTCTGTCTGTGTGCAGCTATCTGCCCCAGAACAAGCTCTCAGAAAGCATTCCCACGGAGATGGGCAACCTGCTGGAGCTTCAGTCCCTGTCAGTCCCTGCAGGATCCATTCATGCATCCTTGCCATCTGTTTTCTATTCCTCGCACTTTCTGGGAGTTATCACTCGTATGCGGTTGCACGCCTCTTGCTCTCTCATTCCTCTCACTCTTTTGCTTTGCACCCGCACTTTCACTCCCACTTGCACCCCCACTTGCTCCTCCTCTTGCTCCTCCTCTTGCTCCTCTTGCTCCCCCTATTGCATACCCTCACCTGTACTGCTGTCGCTCACCCTGCTCTGGTTTCTGCAAGAATAAAAGGAGCTATGCATTTGCACTTACACATGCACACACACAACCTTCGTCCTTTAAACTTCCCCTCCCCCCTCCCCTTTCCCCCCCCCCGCCTTGCACAGGTTCCTCGACTACAACTGGGTGGCGGGCACCATTCCTGACGCCCTGAGTGCCCTCACCAACCTGAATCACCTGTCAGACCTTCCTCCCAGCCGTCCCTTCCCTTCCCTTCCCTTCCCTTCCCTACCCTTTCCTCCCCTTTCCTTCCCTCCTCTCCCCTCCCCTCCCCTCTCCTCCCCTCCTCTTCCCTTCCCTCCTCTCCCCTCCCCTCCCCTCCCCTCCTCTCCCCTCCCCTCCCCTCCCCTCCCCTCTCCTTCCCTTCCCTCCCCTCCCCTCCCCTCCCCTCCCCTTCCCTTCCCTCCCCTCCCCTCCACTCCCCTCCCCTCCCCTTCCCTCCCCTCCCCTTCCCTTCCCTCCCCTTCCCTTCCCTCCCCTTCCCTCCCCTCCCCTTCCCTTCCCTCCCCTCCCTCCCTTCCCTCCCCTCCCCTTCCCTTCCCTCCCCTTCCCTTCCCTCCCCTTCCCTTCCCTCCCCTCCCCTTCCCTTCCCTCCCCTCCCCTCCTCCCTCCCCTCCCCTTCCCTCCCTCCCCTTCCCTTCCCTCCCCTCCCTCCCTCCCCTTCCTCCCTCCCTTCCCTTCCCTCCCTCCCTCCCCTTCCCTCCCCCCCTTCCCTTCCCTCCCCTTCCCTTCCCTCCCCTTCCCTTCCCTCCCTCCCCTTCCCTTCCCTTCCCTCCCCTTCCCTTCCCTCCCCTTCCCTTCCCTCCCCTTCCCTTCCCTCCCTCCCCTTCCCTCCCCTCCCCTCCCCTCCCCTTCCCTCCCCTCCCCTTCCCTTCCCTCCCCTTCCCTTCCCTTCCCTGCCTGCGCCATTACGTGGTGCCTCCTTCCATCCACCCCGCTCTGCACCCCAGCCGGCGCATGATCTGATCTCAACAGTGAATCGCTCCGTGCTGCTTTGCGTCTCCCTTGAGTCCTTATCACCCTGTGCTGTGCGTGTGCTGCCAACTGCTCTCGCAGGTCCATGGCCGGCAATCAGCTGGAGGGCGCCCTCCCCGACTTCCTCACCTCCTTCGTTGCGCTCACTCAACTGTCAGTCTCCCCTCTCACTCAACTGTCAGTCTCCCCCCTCACTCAACTGTCAGTCTCCCCTCTCACTCAACTGTCAGTCTCCCCTCTCACTCAACTGCCAGTCTCCCCTCTCACTCAACTGCCAGTCTCCTCTCTCACTCAACTGCCAGTCTCCTCTCTCACTCAACTGCCAGTCTCCTCTCTCACTCAACTGCCAGTCTCCTCTCTCACTCAACTGCCAGTCTCCTCTCTCACTCAACTGCCAGTCTGTGATAATAATCTTGTTTTGAGGCGTTTCTCTCTTCCTCTCCTCCTCGTTGCCCTCACTCAACTGTCAGCTTCCTCACTCTCCCACCTGCTGTGAGTCATGTCAGCGTTCACTGCCTCTACCACCACTATTTGCTCCTAATCTCTCCCATCCCTTTCCGCCGTTGTGTGCTACTTCTATAGACCTCTCTTATGCTGCTGCGAGCCAGCATATGCTCCACCTCCCCACCCTCTCCCTCGTATCCCCTACTTCTCCATCTCGTCCCTCCCTCCCCCCCTCCATCCCTTCCTCCCTCCCTGCTCTTACCGCCCCTCATCCCATCAGGTACCTCAACTCCAACCTGCTCTCCGGCTCCATCCCTGCATTTATCGGCAACTGTGTTGCTCTAGAAGTGCTGTGAGTGTCAGAGTTCCTGCCAGAGTGTTCAGCTGCTGCTTCCCCTTTCAGTCGCTTGCTTGCGTGTCAAGTTCCCCGCATCTCCATCTCCCTGCCACACCCCACACGCACACTCTCTCTTCAATCACACCTCCCCATCGCTTTCTGCCGATTTCCAACTCTCCATCTCCCCTCCCCCCACCCTTCCACCACTCACACCACTCCATGCTTCCAGTTCACTTTCAAACAACAGGCTGACCGGAGTGCTGCCTATGTCTATTGGTGCCATGACCAACCTTCGAAGCATGTGAGGGAGGGGAGGGTATTGGGTGGGAACAGAGGGTAGTGGGTGCAGAGGGGTTAAAGCCCGCGGCCCAAATCGTTCATGCTTTAGAAACATGACAAGACCCAGGTAGTGGGGTTTGGAGTGACGAGAGGTTTGGTTTCGTGAGATTTCTAGCGAGAGTTTTTTTTCCGCTGAGTTGCAAGAGTCCCAAATTGCAATGACCCCATTTTCAAGTTCCTGCAGGCCAACCCACCCATACCTCCCCAGTCAAATTTTGAACCAATCAGCTGCCTTCGCAATGTGCGTAACCCCAGTTTCGTGAAAATGACACCCACAAAACGTGGGGTTTCAAGTTTCTAAAGCTTGAACCACGCAGCACGCAATTTGGGACTCAGGCTTTAAACAGCTGCCATCTCACCCCTCCTCATGACCCTCATTCGATGTGGGTGTCCAAAAAAAAAAAAACTCGAAATTCCTCATCACCGTCATTCCATTACCCAATGCTTCCTCTAGCCATGCCGTCGCCCAACTCTACCCCCTTGCCATCACCCCATCCCATCCCATCCCATCCCATCCCATCCCATCCCATCCCATCCCATCCCATCCCATCCCATCACATCCCGTTCCACCCCACGCCTCCAGCAATCTGTATAGCAACCAGCTTGAAGGGTCCATACCGAGCACCATTGGGCAGCTGGAGCAGCTCTCATGGCTGTATGTGATTAATATGAACACAGCAGCACATTCTGCAGCCATGTGGCCATTTCATGCGCTGGCGTCCTTTGCCTTGCTCCTGTTCTTGCTTCTGTTCTGCACATGCATCAAGCATGTGCGCGGCGGCTGTGTGCATTCCTAGTCCCCTTCATTCTCCTTGCCTCCCGCACCGCACGCACCAACTGAATCCCAGCCACGTCTTTTTCGTTAGCCTTCGGTTCAGGCCTCAAGATATGGCACCATGCATTAATCAGCCCATCATCCTTCCTATGATACACATATATCTCTCTCTCTCTTCACCATGACCCCCCCGCTCCATCCGCCCTCCAGCTCCCTCTCCTACAACGCTCTCACTGCCGACCTTGACGACCTCACCCCACTGGGCAATCTCGTCGGACTGTGCGTGATTCAACTCCAACTCTCCCACCCACCTCTGCTCCTCCCCTCTCGCTGTCTCCCGTTCCCCCACCACCCCTTTTCCCACCTTCCTCTCCTTCACATCCCTGTCCGTCCTCCCCACCCACTGTGGCCTCCCCACCGTGCCCTCCCCAATCCCACTGCTCAAGCGGAGCCTCACACCCTCACACCCTCTCACACGTGTTCCACTTGTCAGTCTCCCCATCCCTCCGTACCCTTGCCCCATCTCGTCTCCCCCGTGTTCTCTTCCCTTCCCAATGCCTGTCACAACCCCCCCCCCCTCTTGTATCCCATGTACTCAGCTGATCCTAATGCCCCCTTCTCCCCCCCCACTCTGCAAATCCCACACGCTGTGCAGGCTGCTATCTGGCAACGCCATATCCGGTTCGATCCCCACAACCATTAGGGAGCTCTTCAGCCTCCAGACCCTGTGAGCGACGCTGCTCTCTTGCTCATATGGAACATTTTGACTTTTGAGTCGACTCAATAGCCACGTCGCTCCGTTGCACTCTTGGCCAGATGAAGCATTGCGTGTGACAGATGTGAGGGACCGTGGCCTTATATGGTGAGCGAAACTGCAACTGCAAAGTGTGTGCGATCTACTGGAACTGCAATGTGTGCGGGATACGTTGATGCTGCTGCTGCTGCTGAAAGTTGAAACCCGGATTGCTCGTTGTTTCGACGATCCGCCGAGGTAGCTGTTTGAAAAGCTGCGTGTTGCTGCCAGTTTTCCGAGTCCTCTGAAGAGCTTTCCTCTCACTTGCTTTGCGCTGTCGCCCTCTGCCCCATCAGGGATGTGTCCAACAACGAGCTCACCGGCATTATCCCCTCCACCATCTCCGGCCTCATCCACCTTACCTCTCTGTATGTGCTGCCCTCTCTGTATTTTCCGCCCTCTCTGTGTGTGCTGCCCTCTCTGTATGTACCCCTTCTTTCTCATCCTACCCCCTCCCTCCCTCCCTCCCTCCCTCCCTCCCTCCCTTGCTTCACCCCTCTTTCCCCCGGTGCCAGCATGCTCGACCACAACAAATTGGTGTCACCCGTTCCCCAAGGCTTGAGTGCACTGACTGTCTTGAAGCTCATGTGAGACGGGGGCTCTGTGCCAGGGAGGGAGCAACTTCGGGAGTAGGAAAAATCCTTTCACCGCTCCCTAAGCTGGAGTGCACTGATTGCCTTGAAGTTCATGTGAGACCGGGGCTCTATGCCAGCCAGGCAGCAACTTTTCGAGTAGGGCAGCAACTTTGCGAATCGGAGAAATCCCTTGAGAGATTCTCCAGAGCATCTTCTCCAGAGTTGACTCAAGAGCAGGGGCGGGGCCGTTGGTGCTGCGAATTCCCCCCCATGCTTGAGCGCACTGAGGCCGTTAAACCACATGTGAGGCCGCGTGCGTGCTCTATGGTAAGGTATGCGCTGTGGTTTTTTTATATGATCCCAGCTAACTGCGGACGTTGAGTGGCTTGCCCCACATGGTCGCTAGTATGGTGCGCTGCGACTGAGCAAGCCTTGCTGGTGGGGCAGAAGCACCCGTTTCTGGCCACTGCTTGCCTGGATGGGTGCGTGGGAGCACCTGTGAGGCGCGGCAGGGAATGGGAAGCGGGAGAGCGTGTGGGTGTGTGGGCGTGGGGTGGGTGTGTTGACAGCTGTGCGAAAGAGGGGGGACTGGAAAAAGGGGGAGGGGCAAAAAAGGGAGGGGGTAGAGGGTGAGGGCCCCAGGGGCATCACAACTTGATTGGACTTCAGTGCTTTGGTTGCTCATGGCCATGGCTGTGTTCTCGATGCCCGCCCTTCCCTCTCACCTCTCCCTCCCCCTCTCCCTCCCCCTCCCCCTCTCCCTCTCCCTCCCCCTCCCTAACTGCAGAGATCTGCACGATAATGCGTTTTCTGAGGTCCTTCCACCTGCCTTCACAAAGATGAAACGTGCTGAGTACATGTGAGTAGCTGAGTGCATGTCAGCAGCTCATCTTATTACTTGCGACATTGCTGCGTGCATGTGTGTGAGGCATACGGAGGGCGAACAGCGACTAGCAGTTCTTGGGACAAAGACACCAGATGAGCAGCAGCGATAGGAGGAGGTATGCTTAGGGCGAGCAGGGACTAGTTTAGAACCACGAGAGGCGCATGAAGGCACATCAGAACTCTAGCCTACCTTCCTGGTATTCTCCTTTACGGGGCAGTTTTTGAGTGGACTCAGTGGTAGTAATTCTGGCTCAAGCGAGGGGATAAGGTCCGAATGCTTGAGATTTTTACACAAGTGTTAGTGTCTGTGAATCTCCCAGAGGCTAGCGCAACTTTGGGAACACTTTCGGTGCATTTGCAGCCTTGGGCTTGCCGTTTCATTGCCCTTATCCTCTCGTCTCCTGATGAGCTCGTCAGTCAGCGCTGGTTCACAGCATAGCGCACCATGGCGGCCCCATGCTGTGCACATCGCTCCACCTCCCCGTCACCCTCTCATCTGCATTGTGAGGCGATTCTAGATGCTTCCTGCCTCCTCCTCCTCACCTCACCTCACCTCTTCCTGGCCCCACCGTCCCATGTGTGCAGGAAGCTGAGCCACAATAACTTCACTGGTAGCATCCCTGCATCCATAAGCTCTCTTCAGTCGCTCACATATCTGTGCGTGCGTTTTACCTGAGTTGACCACTTGAGTTGACCACTAGAGCTGAGCACTTGAGCTGACCGCTTGAGCTGACCACTTGAAGTGAGAGAGTGCCACAGGCAACGGGCAACCTGAAGCAGACTGCCCCGGGGTTGTTGGAAACCGACTTCAAGGTCATTTCATTGCGCCTAGATTGAATGAATGGTCCTGCAGACAGTGAAACATGACGGGGATCAATCATCTCATGTGCCTCCCCCCTCCCCCCCCTCTCGCACCCCCTTTCTCGTTCCCTCCAGTGACCTCAGTTACACGTTCCTGGAAGGCACTATTCCCACCGCCATCTCCAAAATGCAACGCTTATCCCGCCTGTAATGTTCCGTTGCCAGTAGTTTTTCCGCTTGTAATTTGCCTTTGTTAGTGGAATGCCATCTCTCCGGCACTTTGGCTTGAGCACCAACGTCAGCCTGTAATCTTTGCGCCCCATTGTTTTCCTTCACACCTGACTTGCATCCACATCATCTGATTCGCCCATTACTTCATCTTCCTCATCGACGTAATTCTAGTATGATGGGCAGTCGAAGTCAGGGTTTAGGGATCTGGGTTTGCTTGTCGAGTAAAACTAAGTCTTCTGAGTGGTAGGTGATTGTGCGGCAGTGTCGGGCAGAATTTCTCTTTGATACGAGATTTGCATGCGCAATGGCCTTTGTTGCTCTCTCTCGGGCTGCTTGTAAACCTTTTGCAAACTGCTCAGAGCTCGGGCAGGTTGTTGGGATTCGCCCATTACTTCTCCTTCCGCTTCTCAGACTCAATGCGTCTTCCTGTTTCCCCCTGCCTTTCACGATCTCCTTTTTATTGCTGCATTGTTGCTGTGCATGCCACCATGCATCATTCCACACGCCAACATGCATCATTCCACACGCCAACATGCATCATTCCACACGCCACCATGCATCATTCCACACGTCACCATGCATCATTCCACACGCCACCATGCATCATTCCACACGCCAACATGCATCATTCCACACGCCACCATACATCATTCCACGTGCCACCATGCATCACCATCCATGGTCAACAGTTACCTTCATATTTCAACTCTCTCTGGCTCTATACCGGCTACCATGGGCTCGATGCTCAATCTGCAGTACCTGTAAATCTCTCCCCCCCCTTTCTTTTCCCAGTATCTCCATTTCACATCTAGCCTGAAATCCTCCCACCGTTGACATTCTTCCCTCATCGTCAAGTCGCACCGAACCTCCGCCGCTCCTCCACTTCGACGGCATGTAATCATCACTTCCTCCCGCTACTTGTTGCACGGTCATACAACTCTGGCATACCCCTCCCCCCCTTCCACCTCCCCGCGCCTTCCTCCCACTTGTACCTTCTCCCCCTCACAGCTACGTGGACCCCGCTGCGACGCCGTGCGGTGCTGGGCGGTGCGAGGTGGTGCAGTACTCAGGCACAGCCTTCTGCCGCGCCTGCACGAACTTCTGCGACACGTGCACCAAGGGTGAGAAGGAGGGTGCGGCAGGGGAAGCATCTGGAAGGGGTGTGTGTGGGAAGGGAAGCGAGTTGGGAGTGAAGGGGAGTGTGCAGAGGAGTGCTGTTAGGCAACACAAGACCGGGGCGTAATCGTGACGTGTGACCGCACCGTGCATGCCGCTGCGTGTGTGCTCTTGCTTGGAGCCACATGCTCGCATCATGTGTGTGTGTGCGTGTGTGCGTGCGTGCATGTGGATGTGTGTTTTGATGCAAGGATCTCGAGGGTGATGTGAAGTTCAATGCTGTATTGGTCTGACGAGTAACTTACTAGATGCCCCCCTCATGCCACTGCCTAACACATGCACTCATACGGCTCCTTGGTCACTTCCATCACCCCCCCTCTCTCCTCCACACTTGCTCTGCCAGTAGCACGCGCCCCTCCGGAGTGCAAGAAGAAGCGCCGTGTGTGCTCTAGCAAGTCGTGCCCTGGGCGCATCTGCATTCCGTTCATTCGCAGCTGCCAGGGCTTCAAGTGCATCTGACTCTCTGGCAAGGGGCCAGCTAGAGTGGCGAGGGCTACTGGTGCACAGACATGATGACTGTTCGTGTTTCCATAATAAGGTGTCTCATGACTGGGCCGAGGGAGTGTTCCCATGCTGGGCAGAGGCGGTTGCGGGAACCAGGTTATTGTGGCAGAAGTTGAGGCAGTGAGGGCGAAATGACGGATGGCGAGAGGGTTGTGTTGGCGCCAGGTGGCAAGGCATTTTGTGTACATCGCTTTGTTTTGCTGGGCTGCGTGGTGGGCTGAGCAGCGACTTGTAGAATGTGTGCGTGCATGCTTGTCGTCGGTATAGGAAAATATGCATTCTTGCTAGCATTACTGTTAGTGTAGTCAGTAGTATTGAGTAGTTTGTGTTATGAGTGTTTAACCAGAGTAGCGCGGAATCGAATGTGGTGACTACAAGATATATGGTACAATGGAATGACGAAGCAAGATATACCATATTCCCTTGTGTATACCACCCTAGGGTATTGTCAAACTTTCATTCAAAAAACGTATGGGTGTTAAGAGTAGGCTGGAAAAAAAAAAGCCCATGTCTTACGTAAAATGCAAAATGAATTTGGGTTGTAACTGTCAAGTTATACATATATTGTTATGTAGAAGTTATAGGCTAGATAGGGTATGCTCTTAGTGGGTACAACCCATATGCTATATCTCCCCTGTTCTCCCTTCTTCTATTCATTCTTTCTAGTCTTCACATGGTATCACGAGTAGGTAAGTCCACCCACCCGCTTCCGCCCCGCGCCGCCACCTATCGGAACCTCGCGCCCCTAGCTGGCTCCGCGCGCCCCTACGGCCCCGTCGCGCCCTTACGGCCCCATCGCGCCCCTACGGCCCCGTCGCGCCACTAGCAGGCCCCGTCGCGCCCCTATGGCCCCGTCGCGCCCCTAGCAAGCCCCCTCGCGCCCCTACGGCGCCGTCGCGCCCCTAGCAGGCCCCCTCGCGCCCCTACGGCGCCGTCGCGCCCCTAGCAGGCCCCCTCACGCCCCTAAGGCCCCGTCGCGCCCCTAGCAGGCCCCGTTGCGCCCCTACGGACCCGTCGCGCCCCTACGGCCCCGTTGCGCCCCTATTAGGCCCCGTCGCGCCCCTACGGCCCCTCGCGCCCCTAGCCGGCCCCATCGCGCCCCTAGCTAGCACCGTCGCGCCCTAGCCAGCCCCATCGCGCCCCTGCGGCCCTATCGCGCCCCTACGGCCCCGTCGCGCCCCTAGCCGGCCCTGTCGCGCTCCTACTGGCCCCTTGCTCCCCTAGCCGGCCCCGCGCGCCAATACGGCCCCTCGCGCCCTTAGCCGGCCCCGTCGCACCTCCTGCCGGCCCCTCGCGCCCCTAGCCGGCCCCGTCGCGCCCCTACCGGCCCCTCGCGCCCCTAGCCGGCCCCTCGCGCCCCTACGGCCCCTCGTGCTCCTACCGGCCCCCCAGGGTCCCAAGCCGGCCCCACGCGCCCTTGCCGGCCCCGCTCGCCCTAGCCGACCCCTTGTGCCATAGCCGGCCCCTTGTGCCCTAGCCGGCCCCTTGAGCCGCCGAGCCGCCGTGTCCCCAAGCCGCCGTGTCCCCGAGCCGCCGTGTTGCCGAGCCGCCGTGCTGCCGAGCCGCCATGCCGCCGTGCCGCAGAGCCGCCGAGCCGCCGTGTCCCCGAGCCGCCGAGCACCCGCGCCGCCGAGCCACCATGTCGCCGTGTCCCTGAGCCGCCGCGCCGCCGAGCGGTCAAGTCGTTGCGCTGCTGAGCCGCTGTACCGCTGTCACACTATGCGATGGCGGACGCCGTTCTTCGCTTGGACACTGAGGGGCACGCGATCGACTTCGCCGCCTGGCTCGTTGACCTCCGCCGGCACCTGACAGGTCAGCGCCAGGATGGGCACTCCCTGGCTATGCATGTTGATGGTTTGCTTCCCCGCCCCCCTGCACCTGATCCCCTCCCTGCTAACCCTACCACTGCTGAGAGCAAGGCTTTTGCTGCTGCTGCGCTTGCTCGAGCTGTCTGGGATTCTCGCTGCAGTAGTTGAGCGTTACTCCACACCTTCTTCCGCCTCTGCTGGCCGCTTAATCCTACCCATGCCCTTCCCTGATCTTTCTGCTTTCCCCACAGTAGCTGACCTCGCTACTCACCTCCGTGCACTAGAGACCAGCTACCGCGCTACTAGCTCTGCCGCCTAGCTTACTGCCTTCCCCCCACCTTTCTGCGCTACCCTGTACCTCATCGCCATGCGCCTGCCTGACCGCTTAGCCACTGCCCGCGACCACTTCCTAAGTCAGCACCCTGCCAACCTCAACCTGACCGCCTTTGTCACTACTCTGTCTCAGATAGAGACTCGCCAGCGCACCATCGCTCAGTCGAGCGGTGTTGCGGCAGTCCCTATCTGTCAGGGCTGTGCCCCCTCCCAGTGCACGTATGCTGACCTCTCCGCCGCTGTTGCCATGAGTGCACCTGCACCTGAGACAACAGCTGCGGCGTACCCGTAGCAGCGCCAGCGCCGAGCCGCCATGGCCCCAAGGGAGGATGTGGAGGTGGCGCTAGTGGTGGTGGTGGCGGGGACAGTGGTTCTGACGAGGGGGTTGGTGTTGGTGCCTAGGAGCAGCAGCAGTCACCGCAATCGCAGCCGCCGCAGCAGCAGCAGCCGTCACAGCAGCAGCAGCCGTGGGCTCGTCTCCCGCCCGGGTGGCCAGGAGCCACTGGCGGTGGTGGTCATGGTGGTGGCCCTTACAGCTCGGCGTCCACCGGCAGCTTCGGTGCTATGAGCTGCCAGTACCAGCTTCAGACTGGTCCCCTGCATGGCACGGTGTGCCGCCGCCCGCACCCCACTGCCCGCTGCTTCCGCCGCCTCGACGACCTCTTCTGTCGCCGCTTTCGTCTCGCCCTGGACCTCCCTGACTGGCCCAGCCTGCTGCGCCACGGTATGCCTATGTTTAACTTCGACATGGATCAGATTAGTTCTGCCTTGCATTCTCCGTATGCTGACGCTTCGAGTGTTTTCGGATCGTACTACTGTGTGTTATCTAGCTTAGGCATAGCACCTGTGTGTAGTCCAGACTCCCCTGCTGCGTCAGGCGTAGGACAGCTTGCTTTGTCTAGCCTAGGCTCTACCCTTGCTCCTCCGTTGTCGGCCACTACGGCGTCCCTGTCCTTCACTCTAGCCTCCGGTGCGTCAACCTGTTTCTTCCGCGACCACGCTGCCCTCATCACGCTTGCTGCGCCTGCCACTATCACCCTTGCGGACCCCTCCTCAGGCCCTGTAGTTGCTCGCAGCTACACTACCCTTCCCTGTCCGGCGGTACCCTCCGGTTTCCTTACAGGCCTGCACATCCCTTCGTTCTCCAGGAACTTAGTTGGTGTCGGCTGTTTTCAGGACCTCGGCGTCACCACTACGTTCCCTGGTCACGAGCAGTACGCGGTCTGTTCCGAGGCCGCCTCAGGGACCCCCCTTGCAACGTTCCCCCGAGACCTAGTGTCTGGCATGTTTACGCTGGACACTGCTCCCCCCTCGGCGAGCGAGTCCTCCTCCAGTTCTGCGTCCACCCAGGCAGCTGCGGCCTGCTCGTGTCGGTCGCTCACTCACCCGTCACTGTTGTGACACCACCGCCTAGGTCACCCCGCGCTCCCCCGCCTGCATCACATGTCTCAGCACCGTCTAGTCCTCTGCCTCCCTGCATCACTCCCTGCTCCCCCTCCCTCGCCTGCGCCGCCGTGCACGCCTTGCGTCGAGGGCCGGCTGCGCCGTGCTCCTCACTCCTCCTCACTTCGCCCTGCCACTGCACCCCTTCAGACCCTACACTTGGACGTCTAGGACCCAGCCCCTGTCCCTGGACCGGGTCCTGAGAGCTACTTTCTGGTGCTCGTTGACGACTTCACGCGCTACACCATGGTGTTTCCCCTGGAGCGGAAGGCCGACATGCTTGATGTTCTTATCCCATGGCTCGTCGCTGCGCGCCTCCACCGCAGTCTCCCTGTGCTGTGTCTCCACTCCGGCCGTGACGGCTAGTTTGCCTCTGGTCGGCTGGGTCAGTTCTGTCGTGCGGAGGGCATCACCCAGACGTACACCCTGCCGGACTCCCCGCAGCAGAATGGGGTCGCTGAGCGACACATCGGTTTGGTCATGGAGGTGGCTCGTACCTCCATGATCCATGCCGGTGCACCCCATTTTCTGTGGCTGTTCGTCGTTCGCTACGCCGCTCACCAGCTTAACCTCTGGCCTCGCTCTCAGCGGCCACAGGTTTTGCCGACCCTTCTTTGGACCAGGTTCCCTGGTGACGCGTTTGCGTTCCACGTTTGGGGCTGCCTCGCTCACGTTCGTGCCTCTGGCACGGACAAGCTCACTGCCCGCACCGTCCCCTGTGTCTTCCTCGGTTTCCCCCTTGACTCGTCTGACTGGCATTTCTACCACCCGTCGTCTCACCGCTTCCTTCACTCCCGTGACCTTCACTCCTTTCTCCACCGCTTTCCTCGCCGAGGTCTCCCGGTTCCCCCCCCCCTGTTTCTGATTCCCACTCCCCCGGTCGCCCCTGCTCCCCTCTCTCCCTACCCTGCTTCGTCTGGTGTGTCTCACGTCACTCCCCTCCCGCCGGTTGTCCCGGTCGAGGAGTCGGCTGACTCTCGTGGCCCTGCAACGCAGTTTGCGCCGCCTCTCCCTCCCCCAGTGTCTCCTCCTCCCTCGTCAACGCCGCCACAGACGCAGCTGTCGACGCAGCCGCAGCCGTTCGTGGACTCTGGGAATGCTGGAGTTGGAGAGGGTGCTAGTCTTGGGGCTCCTGTTGTGGCTTGTCCCGGCGGGCTCGGGGGTGGCACCGGCGCTGTAGACGTTTCTCGTTCTGGGGGTGCTGGCATGGAGTGTACCGGAGGTAGCAGTGGTGCAGCTGGTGGTCCAGGTGTCGGTGTTGAGCAGCAGCAGCAGCAATCGCCGCCGGTGTCCGCCCTTCGCTGACTTGGCCTTCCCCTTCCCTGACTGCTCGCCTGCGCCTCCCTCGCCGTCTCCCCCTCTTCCTGTTCACGGTCATGTGCTTCCTCCGCCGGACTCATTCCTCGCGCATTTCCCCTCGCGTTCCTCTCCTCTCCTGTCTCCTGACCCGACGCCTCCGTCTCACGTCTGGTCTCGCCGTCCCTCCCGTGCTCGCCGCGTCTCCCCTGTCCCGTGCTCTCACCCTATGTTGCTTCGTTCGCACGCGTCTCGTCCTACCCTCCTCCCGTCGCCGCCTCCATCCTCTCTTGTTGTTGCGCCTCCCCCCCTATCTGACTACCTTAGTGCCACTCGTCCCCTTGTTCCTCGGGTCCTTGCCTCCCTCGTTACCGACCCGTCTGTTCCGGTCTCGTGTCTCGACGCTCTTGTCGCTGCGGTCGCTGGCTTTGCCTCTACCCACCGCCTTGACTACACCACCGCTCTGGTCTCTGACCCTGCCTGTCCTCCGTCTGTCGGGGGTGCTCCTGCCCTCGGCAATGACGTCCTGGAGGAC